GCTCTGCAAGCCCACTTGGGTCATGTGGGGCAGGGACACCTGGCAGGGTGGGCTTTGTGGACTCAAGGGCTACCAATTCCTCCAGGTCAGCATGCTCAGATCGTTCCATTCTCCCCCTTCCTTTGGCCAAATGGACCTCTGTATCCTGGGCTGATCACAAATGTCACAAGAGTCACACCAGGGCTGTCACACTCCATCACACCAGGAATGTCACACCATGTCACACCATACCACATCACACCATGTCACACCAGAGATGTCACATCATGTCACACCATACCACATCACACCATGTCACACCACCCCACACTGTGTCACACCAGGGCTGTCACACCCCATCACACCAGGAATGTCACACCATGTCACACCATACCACATCACACCATGTCACACTACACCACACTGTGTCACACCAGGGCCGTCACACCCCATCACACCAGGAATGTCACACCATGTCACACCATACTACATCACACCATGTCACACCAGGGATGTCACACTCCTTCACACTGGGAATATACCTGTCACACCATGTCACACCAAGGATGTCACATCATGTCACACCATACGCCATCACACCATGTCACACCACATCACACCATGTCCAACCATGTCACATCACACATCAGACCACATCATACCACGTCACACCATGTCACACTGGGGATGTCACACCACGTCACACCATGCCCCATCACATCATGCCACATTATACCCTGTCACACCAGGGCCATTACACCACGTCACACCATGTCATGTCACATCACAGCACGGACGACTGGGGGTGGGCAGGGGCTGCCTGCAGTGCAGCCTTGCTGGAGAGTTGAGGGAGGGTCCTGGGGCTGGGCGTGGCGTTCCCGTGGGAGGGCCGGCCCTCTGGAGGGTGCTCAGTCCCAGGTGGAAAGGGGCGGGGACGGGTGCCTCAGGGAGGGGCCCAATTTCCCCAGGGGAGCCTGGTCCAGGTGCCAGGTGCTGCAGGTGGCAGGAGCTACAGGGAGCATCTGCTTCTTCCCAACGCAGCCTGCTCAGTGCACGGAATGGCCTGGTGCCCAGCGCTGGCCTGGGTTTCCTTTCCTTAGCCCAGCTGGGCCATCCATCCTCAGGCAGTGGACTGGAGCCCACCCCACCAGAGCACCTAGAGGGGCCTAGGGCCCCTTGAGGGGCAGAAGGTGGAGACCTGTGCAGCAGGGTCCCTGAGGCTGCCATGTTCTCTAGACAGAGCTCACCTGCATCTCTGGGATGCCACGCTTGGGCTTGGGATAGAGCCGGTAGTGCAGCAGCTGCCCACCCCGCACCCTGGGTACTGTCTCTGTCACCCCGCCAGTGGCTGCAGCAGCAAGTCCTGATAGTCAAAGCGCTGGGCTTCAGCACCCAGTTCAGGCCAGGCCCCTGGAGCCCACCCTCCAGCGGTGAGCCCTCCCACGGTGCGGCTGGGCCTGCAGTCTGGGGATTTCACCCCCAGCTCTGTCTGGTGCAGCTCCGCTCCTGCCACTTGGTGCCATGCAAGCAAATGTAACTACCCCCTTTCTCGGTGTGATGATCGCTCTCCTGCCACAGGAGACTCCGGGGCCGCTTCCCAGCCCAGCCACCATGGCCACCGCAGTGATAAGACCCTCTCCGTGGCTGAGGTCCAGCCAGGATCCTTGGAGCCTGTCCACTCGGCCTCAGCCTTGGCTTGGAGAGACTTGAGCGGACGCTGACGTTTCCAACGGCTTCAGGCCGCGCTCCTGGGCCGACCCCGCCAACACCTGCCCGAGAAAGCTCCGCGCACCAGAGCCGGCCGTCTGCTGCATCCCCGACCTCCCTTTCTCAGGGCGTCTGCTGAGAGGGCTGCGGCCACACGTCCTTCTGTCCATTCCCGATGTCTGCGTGTCTCCTGTGGCCAGGAGGGTCTTCCTCGGGACCTGAGATCTGCTCCCTTGAAGTGTCCTCAGTGGGAAGGAGGGGGCCGGTTCTCCAGGCTCTGGGAGGACAGAATCCTGACCTCAACAGTGGCCGGCGCGGACACAGCGGGCCCATCCCAGGGACCCGGACCAGCGCCGGGCAACTTCTCCCTTCCCCGATGACTGAGCCCCGAGCGCCCTCCCTGCTCCTGCCGCCATCTCCCTCTACCAGGCTGTCGCCTCTGCACAGGTGAAGGTGAGTTCAGCTCACGCCAGACTCTTTCTTCTGTTGCAGTAGTTATTTCTGTTGAAAGTCCGTCCTTGCTACATGACCTAGTGCCCAGCTTTGTCTTTGAAAATCTCTCTCTACCTCTGCCTTCCCGCCTGGTCCTTGCTCCTGGCACCCAACATGTCTCTTAAGGGTTACATTTTACCCCAGAATGAATCACACACACCAGGGTTCACCCATACCTGATTCACACACTAGGTTTCACTGTACCTGATTAAGGTAATATTTTGATGAGATTTTAGGCTTAGAATTGATGGTGAAATGGGCTAATACTTGGGGGATGCTGAGATAGGATGAATGTATTTTACATGTGAGAAGAAAATGAATTTTGGGGCCAGAGCATGGAGTGTTGAGTTAAACTGTGGTCCCTGTGAATTCATGTATTGGAGTCGTGATCCTTGGTCTCACAGTGTGACTGTTTGGAGATTGGGTTTTTATAGAGGTAATTAAGTTGAAGTGCGGTCACTAATCCAATCTGATGTGTGTCCTTCTAAGAAGAGAAGCTTGGGACATGGGACCCAGGGGATGGCCATGTGAAGGCCCAGGGAGGAGGTGGGTCTGCAGGCCAAGGAGAGAGGGCTCAGGAGGAAGCCGCCTGCCCACACCGCCGTGCTAGGCTCTTGGTCTCTAGGACTGGGAGTATCCACGTCTGCTGTGTGAGCCGCCTATGGTGGCCCTGAGCTCACACAGATTCACACACACTTCTCACTTTGGACCATGGTTCGTGCTGGCAGGGCCTCCACGTGGCTCTGCCTGGCCAGCCTGAGCCAGCTACCAGGCCTCCGCCCAGCTTGCCCTGGAGGTCCTGCCTGCTGCAGAGTGAGCAGGGCAGGCAGCACCATGCCCAGCAGGAAGAGAAACTGCATCCATGCAGGAAAGAGGAGAAACCCTGGGGTCCATGTAGTGGCACAGACCAGGGAGGGCCGCATGGGCATGAGTGTGGTTGTGGGAGGCATGAGTGTGGCTGTGGGAGGTGTGAGTCGCTGTGGGAGGTGGAGGTGTGAGTGTGGCTGTGGGAGGTGTGAGGAGTAAGTGTGGCTGTGGGAGGTGGGAGGCGTGAGTGTGGCTGTGGGAGGTGTGAGTGTGGCTGTGGGAGGTGTGAGTGTGGCTGTGGGAGGCAGGGGGTGTGAGTGTGGCTGTGGGGGGTGGAGGTGTGAGTGTGGCTGCGGGAGGTGGGGGCCGTGAGTGTGGCTGTGTGGGGTGGAGGTGTGAGTGTGGCTGTGGGGAGTGGAGGTGTGAGTGTGGCTGTGGGGGTGGAGGTGTGAGTGGCTGCGGGGGTTGGAGGTGTGAGTGTGGCTGTGGGAGGTGTGAGTGTGGCTGTGGGGGGTGGAGGTATGAGTGTGGCTGTGGGGGGTGGAGGTGTGAGTGTGGCTGTGGGGGGTGGAGGTGTGTGAGTGTGGCTGTGGGAGGTGGGGGCCGTGAGCGTGGCTGTTGGGGGTGGGGGCTGTGAGTGTGGCTGTGGAGGGTGGGGTGTGAGTGTGGCTGTGGGGGGTGGAGGTGTGTGAGTGTGGCTGCGGGAGGTGGGGGCTGTGAGCGTGGCTGTGGGGGGTGGGGGCTGTGAGTGTGGCTGTGGAGGGTGGAGGTGTGAGTGTGGCTGCGGGAGGTGGGAGCCGTGAGTGTGGCTGTGGGGGGTGGAGGTATGAGTGTGGCTGTGGGGGGTGGAGGTAGTGAGTGTGGCTGTGGGGGGTGGAGGTGTGAGTGTGGCTGTGGGGGGTGGGGGCTGTGAGTGTGGCTGTGGGGGGTGGAGGTGTGAGTGTGGCTGTGGGAGGCAGGTGGTGTGAGTGTGGCTGTGGGGGGTGGGGGTACCATGTAGGGAGCCCCTGAGTGCAGCTCACCCAGCCTCCTTCTGACCGTGCTTCCCGCTGGGCAGGGGGTGCTTGGATGGGAAGGCTGCTCCCACCGGGAAGTACAAGACTTAAAAAAGATATTTTATTGTCATTAAAAAGAAACATTCGAGACAATCAATGGGCTTTAGAAAATTTAAAATAACAAAAGCTACCAAAGCTGAGACCGTGGCACCTCCTTCCAGTGAGGCCGGGAGTCCCCGCGACGGCCGAGGCGGGTGCCGGCCACACTCCCGCGCGTGTCTCTCTTCCTGTCTGCGGATTCTGCCTGACATTTGCCCAAAGGCGTGATGGGGGCAGCGGGGTGTAGTGGCCTCTGTGCAGCCCTCGTGGCCAGCAGCCCCAGCCTCCCAGGGCCACGGCGCCCTCACTGTGATCTTGCCCGTCCGACTTGTACCTCCAGAGCAGCTGCTGGGTCCTGCTGCAGGTGCCCTGGGGCTGGACTCAGCCTCGGGGATGATTCTGGCTGTGCCCCTGCTCCTGGCTCTCCTGGCGTCCCTACAGGTCTCTCCCTAGTGCTCCTGGGCCTTCTCTGTCCTCAGGCCCCACCAGGGCTGACTCTTGCCCTCCTGGGACCTGGTCACCAGGCCCTCTCGGAGGCCTGTCTGGCCGATGCCCACCTCTTCCCTGGGCCGCCCTGGCCTCACACGGTGTGGGGGCTGCTACAGAGGTCCTGTGGCCCAGGCTCTTCTCCGAGTGGTCTTGGTGGGGTGGGGTGGGTGGGAGGTGGCAGTGTCCTGGGCCCGGCCCCTCCTCTTCCCAGTGCAGACTCTGGGGCTGTCTGTCGCTGCGGGTTGAGTTCCAGTCCTGAGAAAGCAGCAGTGTGAGCAGGCAGCCAAGAGGCGGTGCTGGCACCCAAGACCCTGCTCCGTGGGAGGCATCTTCCCGGCAGCCAGAGAACAGGGTTCTTTAACCTCATTCCTCTTGTCAGGAGTTCACGGGACTGCCCAGAATGGAGCCTGGCTGGCTGCGGGCCGGGAGGAAGGCCGTCTGAGCATTCTCCGCTCTCCGAAGCCTTCCCAGCAGGGCCTGAGGGTGCTGTGACTTCCTGGCTTGGTGGCGGAAGCTCCCACTGGCCACACCTGTGTTCAGGAGGCTGGTGTGGATGGGATTGGCTCCAGGCTGGTTCTTGCCTGGGTGGGCGCCTGGGATGCCGGCTGCTGCCTCCTTTTGTGTGAGCAGCTGGGGGGCTGGAGGGCAGACGTGTCCTGCTGAGGGGACACCTGGCTCCAGCGCCCTGCATGCACCAAGCAGCAGAGATCTGGGACAGACCTGCTATGCACAGGCTCAAAGGGGGGCACATCGGGTGCGGCAGGTCAGAGGGCGGCTGTGAGGCCGGAGAGCCATGGGGCTGAGGGCGGCGAGGTCAGGGGCAGGCGTGGCCTGGGTGGCGGCTGAGCGTGGCCCATGGCTCCTGTGCCGTGGACTTGCAGCAGAGGGTGGTCCTAGGCCCCCTGCCCAATCATGTTCCTGTAGTCGGGGACGATGGTCTGCTTCAGGTCCACCACCGAGGAGAAGATCCACTTCACCTGCAGGGCAGCACAGAGTATGAGCGAGGCCACAGTCCTGCCCCCAGGCCACCAGGCCACAGTCCTGCCCCCAGGCCACCCAGGCCACAGCCCTGCCCCCAGGCCACCAGGCCACGTCCTGCCCCCAGGCCACCAGGCCACAGTCCTGCCTCCAGGCCACCCAGGCCCAGCCCTGCCCTGAGGTCCACCCAGGCCACAGCCCTGCCCTGAGGCCCACCTGCCCCTCAAGCCACCCAGGTGTGGACATGGAGAGGAGGGCTAGGGCAGCAAAAGCATGTGGACAACAAAGAAGACAGCATGAGGGACAGCATGAAGATGGTGTGTGGGCAGCACTGGAAACAGTGTCAGGGACAGGTGGGGACAGTGTCAGGGACAGGTGGGGACAGTGTCAGGGACAGGTGGGGACAGCGTGGGGGACAGCATGGGGGACAGTGTTGGGGACAGGTGGGGACAGTGTGGGGGACAGTGTCAGGGACAGGTGGGGACAGCATGGGGGACAGTGTCAGGGACAGGTGGGGACAGGGACAGGTGGGGACAGTATGGGGGACAGTGTCAGGGACAGGTGGGGACAGTGTGGGGGACAGTGTTGGGGACAGTGTGGGGGACTGTCAGGGAGAGGGGACAGCATTGGGGACAGTGTCAGGGACAGGTGGGACCGTGTGGAGGACAGTGTTGGGGACAGCTGGGGACAGTGTGGGGGACAGTGTCGGGGACAGGTGGGGACAGCATGGGGGACAGGTGGGGACAGCGTCAGGGACAGTGTCAAGGACAGGTGAGGACAGTGTCAGGGACAGGTGGGGACAGCGTCGGGGACAGTATCAGGAACAGGTGAGGACAGTGTCAGGGACAGGTGGGGACAGCACAGGGGACAGTGTCAGGAACAGGTGAGGACAGTGTCAGGGACAGGTGGGGACAGTGTGGGGGACAGTGTCAGGGAGAAGGGACAGCATTGGGGACAGTGTCAGGGACAGGTGGGGACAGGGTGGGGACACTGTGAGAGCCAAGTGGGGACAGCATGGGGGACAGTGTCAGGGACAGGTGGGGACAGTGTTGGGGACAGGTGGGGACAACGTGGGGGACAGTGTCGGGGATAGCTGGTGACAGCGTTGGGGACAGTGTCGGGGACAGCACGGGGGACAGTGTCGGGAACAGCTGGGGACAGCATGGGAGACAGTGTTGGGGACAGTGCGGGGGACAGTGTTGGGGACAGCTGGGGACAGTGTGGGGGATAGTGTCGGGGACAGCTGGGGACGGCGTGGGACAGTGTCGGGGACAGTGTTGGGGACAGTGTGGGGGACAATGTCAGGGACAGCTGGGGACAGCATGGGGGACAGTGTCAGGGACAGTGCAGGGGACAGTGTCGGGGACAGCTGGGGACAGCATGGGGGACAGTGTAGGGGACAGCGTGGGGGACAGCGTCGGGGACAGCTGGCAACAGTGTGGGGGATAGTGTCGGGGACAGCTGGGGACAGCGTGGGGACAGTGTCAGGGACAGCTGGGGACAGCATGGGGGACAGTGTCGGGGACAGCGCAGGGGACAGTGTGGGGGACAATGTCGGGGACAGCTGGGGACAGCATGGGGGACAGCGTCGGGGACAGCTGGCAACAGTGTGGGGGATAGTGTCGGGGACAGCTGGGGACAGCATGGGGGACAGTGTCGGGGACAGCTGGGGACAGCATGGGGGACAGTGTCGGGGACAGCTGGGGACAGCATGGGGGACAGTGTCGGGGACAGCGCAGGGGACAGCATTGGGGACAGCTGGGGACAGCGTGGGGACAGTGTTGGGGACAGCTGGGGACAGCGTGGGGACAGTGTCGGGGACAACTGGCGACAGTGTGGGGGATAGTGTCGGGGACAGCTGGGGACAGCATGGGGGACTGTCAGGGACAGCGTGGGGGACAGTGTGGGGGACAGTGTCGGGGACAGCTGGGGACAGCGTGGGGGACAGCATCGGGGACAGCTGGGGACAGCGTGGGGACAGTGTCGGGGCAGCTGGGGACAGTGTGGGGTCAGTGTTGGGGACAGCTGGGGACAGCATGGGGGACAGTGTAGGGGACAGCTGGCGACAGCTGGGTACAGTGTCGGTGACAGCTGGGGACAGCGTGTGGCCAACCTTGAAGAAGGTGACAGTGGCACTGTAGCACACACTCAGCAGGAAGAGTGTGATGAAGATAGTGATGGTCGTCCACAGCCCGTCCAGCTCCCCGTCCTGCGCCTCCACACAGCTCTCCTCCAGTATCAGCTCTGTACAGGAAGAGGGTGGTCAGTGCTGTGTCCCGCTGGGCTCAGGCCTCGGGGGTGATTCCCTATGTGGTGGGGCCTGGGGTGTAGGGCGTGGCTGGGATGGGCCATCGGTGCCCTGAGGTCTGCTCCCCACAGCTGCCTGCCCCATGCACGAGCTTTGACCCCATGGCTCGGCCAGACACCTGGCCCTAGAGAGCGGACTGGCCCTCAGCGGGACCCACTCCCCATCCCCTGCACCCCTCCCTGAGGCCCAGAGGGCAGGAGGATGGCAAAGCCCACCCCCTATGTGACCCCAGCTGCCGGGAAGGGTGTTATTGGGAAGTGGGCCGGTGCCAGGGAAGTGAGAAGGTGTGGGTGCCTCTGTGGGTGGGGGTCTGTGTGTGGGGGGTGGCTGCAGGGCCCCTTGTGAGGGCAGGGCTGGGTTTGCCTGAGCTGGTCAGCAGGTGGACAAGCTGCTGAGAGGCTCATGGGCCTTGAGGTGCCACATGGGGCTCGTGGGGGCCCATGTCCAAGGAGTGTTGCTGTGTGGGGACCTTGCTATGGTCTGGGTGCTGTGCAGGCTGCCTGGTGAGGGCTCCGTGTGGGGTGTACATGTGTGTGTGGTGGCTGAGTGGCCGGCCAGCCTCCATACAAGGTTTGTGGAATGGGTCTGGGCTGAGTGTGAGTGTGAGTGTGGGCTGTGTAAATGTGTGAGTGGGTGAGTATGAGTGTGAGTCTAGGCTGAGTGTGAGAGTGTGAGTGTGAGTCTGGGCTGAGTGTGTGTACGTGGGTATGTGAGTTTGGGCTGAGTGTGAGTGTGTGTGTGTGTGTGTGTGAGTGGGAGTCTGCACTGAGTGTGTATGTGGGTATGTGAGTCAGCTGAGTGTGAGTGTGTGTGTGTGAATGGGAGTCTGGGCTGTGTGTGGGTGTGAGTGGGAGTCTGGGTTGTGTGTGGGTGAGTGTGGGTAGGAGTCTGTGTTCAGTGTGTGTGTGTGTCTGCTGAGTGTAGATGTGAGTCTGGGTTGAGTGTGAGTGTGTATGGGTGTGTGAGTCTGCACTGGGTGTGTGTGGGTGATTGTGTCTGGGCTGAGTGTGAGTGTGTGTGGGTATGTGAGTCTGGGCTGGGTGTGTGGGTGTGAGTGTGAGTCTGGGCTGAGTGTGTGTGCATGTGTGTGTATGTGAGTCTGGGCTGGTTGTGTGGGTGAATGTGTGAGTCTGGGCTGTGTGAGTGTGTGTGGGTGAGTGTGACTGAGTCTGGGCTGTGTGTGTATGTGTGTGTATGTGAGTCTGGGCTGAGTGTGTGAGTGTGTGAGTCGGCTGTGTGAATGTGTGTGGGTGAGTGTGAGTGTGAGTCTGGGCTGAGTGTGTGTGTGTGTCTGGGCTGAGTGTGAGTATGTGTGTGGATGTGAGTCTGGGCTGTGTGAGTATGTATGGGTGAGTGTGAGTCTGGGCTGGGTGTGAGTGTGTGTGTGGGCATCTGGAACAGTCCCTCCCCGGGAGTCAGTTGTGTCCCCATGTGGGTGGAAGGCTGGGCAGGGCTGCCTGGGCTTCGTGCGGTGGGGGAGGTTGGGGAGGGAGGGCCTGTCTCTTCAGAGGTGGAGGCTGTGTGCCTGTGCCCAGGGGGCTCCTAGGGCTCTCTTTGTCCAGCCTAGGGACAGCTGCTGCTGGAAGGAGGGGCACGCTGACAAAGCCCCCACCCCATTTTGGGGCAGCCCCTGGCTGAACCCCACCCTAGGTGGCCCAGGCACGCCTGCACAGCCTGGGCCAGTGTGGGGGCAGTGGGACCCACTCTGCCTTCCTCGTCCACTCAGGTCTCAGACTCGGCCTGAACCACGGAAAGAACCATCACAGTCTCGAAGGGGCGCAGGGCAGCGCTGGGTGCTTTATTCCATGCCGGGCGCCTGGGCGGGTATGTACACGGTGTGTGACAGGCACCCTCGCGGGACCCCGAGAGGCTGGGGAGCGGGCCTGCCGGGTGTCACACCTCATTTACCCGAGACGCGGAGAGGCTCTTCTGCGTGTAGTGGTTGTGCAGAGCCTCGTGCATCACGGAGCACGAGAAGACGGTCCCCTGCTGCCACCTGTGCTTGTCCACGGTGAGCTTGCTGTAGAGGAAGAAGGAGCCGTCCGAGTCCAGCACAGGCTGCGTGTTCTTGTAGTTGTTCTCCTGGCTGCCCGTTGCTCTCCCACTCCACGGCGATGTCGCTGGGGTAGAAGCCCTGGATCAGGCAGGTCAGGCTGACCTGGCCTCCTGCTCATCTCCTCCCGCGATGGGGCAGGGTGTACACCTGTGGCTCTCGGGGCGTTCCTGTGGGACAGAGGTGGGCACTGGCGGTCAGTCCGGGGCAAGAGGGTGGGCTGGGGCCGGCCTCTGTCCACACGGCCCTCAGCAGCGGCTCCCACCTTGGCTTTGCGGATGGTTTTCTGGACGGGGGCCGGGAGGGCTTTGTTGGTGACCTTGCATTTGTACTCCTTGCCCTTCAGCCAGTCCTGGTGCACGACGGGGAGGGCGCTGACCAGCGGAACTTGCTGTTGAACTGCTCCTCCCTTGGACTCGTCTTGGCAGTGCGCACACTCCACGTTGTCCACGTACCAGTTGAACTGGACCTCGGGTCGTCTCCTGGCTCACGTCCACCACCACGCACGTGACCTACAGGGCTCCCGGAGATCGCTGAGGATGTCTTGGGTTTCGGGGGGAAAGGAAGACTGCGGTCCCCCCAGGAAATCAGGTGCTGAGGAAGAGATGGAGGCGGACGCGTCAGCATCCAGCTGGGCCTGTCCCTGGATGGAGGTCCCTCTAGGCACTAGTCCCACCTTGAGCTGGAGGGCGAGGCCTGGGCTGGCTTACCTGGGCATGGCGGACAGGGTGTGCACCTGCAGAGAGAAGAGGGGGAGTTACTGGGTTCTGGAGGCGAGAAGGTGTCCATGCTGAGGGAGGGGACAGTTTGTCCTTTGGGTGGGCTCAGGTCAGGGCCAGGCTCCTCCCGGATATGGCTCTTGGCAGGCCTGAGACCAGCATCTGCGCCTGTAGCGCACGGCCTGGGCTAGGGGCATCCAGCCTGTGCCTGCCGGAGCCTGGTGGAAGCAGCCAGAAGACCCCTATCCCTGAGCATGAGTGGGGCAGGCAAGGCCTATGGGTGAGGAGACAGACTGGGCCTCTGCGGCTGCTCCCCTGTGGTGTGTCCAGGCAGGAGGACCGAGCCTGTCTTCCCGCAGACACCCTCCCTCCCTGCGCGGTCCACTCACAAGGAGGAGGTTTCACTATCAGGTCCTTCTTGAAGCTGGTGGGCGTGTGGACAACATTGCAGGTGTAGGTCTGGCTGCCCGCGCTGCTGGTGGTCACCATGCTGCTGAGGGAGTAGAGCCCCGAGGACTGCAGGACCAGCCGGGAAGGTGTGCACAGCCGCTGGTCAGGGCGCACGAGTTCCAGGACACGGTCACCGGCTGGGGGAGTTAGTCCTTGACCAGGCAGCCAGGGCCTATTGTGGTCCCAGAGGTGCAGCAGGGCGTCAGGGGGAAGACGTCTGGTTTCTTGTTGGAGGCTGCAAGAGAGGTGGCACCGTGTGACCACAGTGTGGGACAGAGTGGGTCCCAGTCCCAGAGGTCCCTTGTTTCCTGTCCCTCCACGAGGGTCCAGGCAGGGTGCCAGTGTCTGGGTGTGTACCTGGCTGTGGCCACCTGCTTTACCTTAGCCTCCTCCCTGCCACCGAGGCCAAGGTCAGGCCCAGCGTGTCCCGGAAAGCTTGTGGACCAGCGGCCCTGTGGTGTCCTGCTGCAGGCACCCCTTAGCCTGGGAGGTGAGCTCGGTGCTGGGACAGTGCTCCGTGCCTGCTCGAGTCAGCACAGCCAGGGCCTCTAGCTGGCCTCGGCTCTGGTCACGGTGCCCCTCAGGCACAGCTCATGCCCATCAGCCCCACCCAGCTTTTGGGTGCCTGGCTTGACCAGTGACCACTGTTCCCTAGTGGCTTCTGGT